CAGGCTGGTGGGGGTCAGGGTGCTGCTGGTGGGTGCTGCACGGGGCTGCCAGCCCTGCCTGGAGCTGGTGAAAACAAAAATGGCCTGTGACCAAGCTGCTTCTCCACAACACCTGTGTGGAGGTGGCCCAGGACTCAGCTCTGTTCCAAGTTGTGTGCCAGGATACCCACTACCGGCGAGGCCAGAGAGTGTGGAGCACCACACACTCATTCCTGAAGTCTGAGTTGCCCATCTGGCTAAGCCTTTGGTCTCCTTTGCTTCCTCCTGGGGGCTGTGGGCTGTTTGGGAGGGAAGAAGGTCATGGCTCATGGCTTCTCTTTCCTTGCAGGCACGTGGAGGCACGCTCCTTCTACACCTACTACCTGCGCATGCTCTCGGGCGTCACCCGTGGCTCCTACAAGCTGAACACAACCATCAGTTCTTCCAACGAGACCGCTGTGTCCCAGCCGAAGAACGCTGACCGGTCAGACCGACCCCCCTCCATCATTCTGGGGCTGTGGGAGGCCAGGGCTGGTGCAGGGAGGAGGTGCCGTGGCCATGGGTGGGCAACGGATTGGGACCGTGCCTTTCCCCAGGGAAGATCCTCAAATCATGGATGGGTCCTTGGGGGTGACAATTAACAGGCTGACAGACCATCGTGTCGCGTTGCCCTCCCCAGCTCCAAGGTGTACATGGCTGACCTGGAGTCCACGCTGCACTACTCGCTGCGGGTGGAGGCTGCCCGCCCCGCCGCACTGTCAGGAGCCCAGCTGGCCGCCTTCAAGTGCTACGTGGCCTTACTGGTGAAGGTGAGGAGCTTCTGGTGTTGGTAGAGGAACCACCTGTGCCTCCCTATAGCTATTTATAAGGTGGAATGCAAATGCAGGGTGCAGACCGTGTCCCAGCGCTCGCAGGTAGTGGAGCGTGGCAGTCTCCAATGTGAGCTCTCTGTCCCAGTGCTTGGTGTGGCACAGGGATGTCCCCGTCCCCACAGAGCTCCAAACGCAGCCCAGAGTCCTGATGGGAGCTGGTGGCCAAAAGCAGGTGCTGGAGAGTCTCAGATGAGACCTGGGATGCCAGTATCGGTGGGCAGAGCAAGCTCAGTGCTTGCAGAAGGGGTCGTGTCAAGGCAGCAGGTCTTTTCAGAAGAGATCCTGTCACCTGCTGGGGTGGCAGAGATGATCAGAGGCATTGGTAACTCTGATCGCCTGACTTGGATGCTCAGCTCAGGGACCTGATCTCTGCAGGCTCCTTGAAAGTCTGGGAAAAGGACTTCTGCTCTGAGCCAGGCTTTGGAAGAGCCTAATTTAAGGTCTTTTTTTTTCCCTGCTGGGCTTGGTGAAATTCAGTTGTGTAGGAGCTTTGAGCCAGCAGAAGCAGAGCAGTTTAATTTCCTGGCACGATGGAGCACTGGTTGACCGAGGTTTCCACCAGCAGTGGAAGGAGCCCTGTCTCTGTCGTAGCCTGGGCTCCTTGGCTCAGCCATGCCTGCCTTCTTTGTTCCCTCCTTTGTTACCCAGGGTCTCAGGCTCAGTCTGGACCTCGTGTTCCTTCACTGATGTGTGAGGCACCCCGTGCTCCCAGCCCTACCCACTGTCCCCCAGTAAAGACCTCCAAACATGAGCCACTGCTGCAACCAGTCTTAATTCCTTAGCTCACAGCTTCATGTGTCTCTTCCCCTGCTTGCCCAGCGATCACCTTTGCTATTTCTACCTTAAATGAGATCCACAGGGTTACAGAAATAAATCCCCCATGGCACCAGCTCCCTGGCCAAGGGTACGAGTTTACCCGGGCAGTGGGGAGCAGCAGCAGTTTTATTTGTTCACCATTTAATTCTCCCTGCAAACCTTCCCCTCACTGGCCAAGCACCAGATTTGGCAAGGAGGTGAATTTGCATCCCTACCATGGGCAGGAGGCACTGGGTGGGTGATGGGTGCTGGGTGCTGGGGCTTCCCCGAGGATGCTGAGCCGGAGATGCCGTTGCTGTGCTCATCCACGGGACGGAGCAGCATCCCCAGGATTGCTGCCAGCCTGGCAGGGCTCAGGCTGAGGGAGCTCAGCCAGCAGCATGTCCTAACCTTAACTATTGCCTTCCCAAGAGGTGTTTAAGGCAATGAGGGAGGAAAAAGTCCTAATGTGGAAAGAAGTGGTGCCTGGAAAGCAGGGAATCACGGAACAAACCTCCCAGGGAAGGAGCTGGAGGAACGACTGCGTTTTGCAGCAGAAATGTCAGGTTGCAGATGAATTCCCCTGTGAATTTGGGATTTTCCTTGCAATTCCTCACAGACCTGGGGAGAACAGCTCAGACTTAGCAAAACACTCCTTCCTTTCACTTCCCTGTCACTTTTCCTGTGTGCTGCTGGTCTCCTCCTCTCCGTGGGTCAGTCCCTCTGTCTGTCTGTCTGTCCATCCATGGGTGGCACGTGCTGGTGGGCTGCCCCCTCTCCCCTCCCCGGAGTGCCTGTGATTTTAAAGTGCTGCTGCTAATCGGCTTTGTGCTGACTTATGGTCAGAGTGGCTTTTTGCCTCCCTCAGATGGGGCTGTGGTTTGGAGTCTGAACACGCACAGTGGCCTCACCACTGTGGGGGGGACATGCTGCAGCCCCCAGCCCCTTGGGGAAACCTTGCCAGGTCCATGCTGCCCTCTGGCTCACGCTGCCATCAGCTGGATGCTGATGCTGGGGGTCTGCCCTGCTGCTCATGGGGGAGTCTGGGTTTCCTCACCCCTCTTCCCCTCTGCAGTACTTCCCCGGACGCCCCAGCGTGCAGACCTACCTGCAGTCCCTGGACGGCTGGCTGAGGAACTGGACAGAACCTGAGCTGCCCCGCGACGCCTTGAAGGAGGCCATGAAGAATAACAGAGATGTAAGGCACCCGTGGAGACCCCAGCTCTTGCTCTCCTCACCCTACCCCTTTCTCCCCTGCCCCACATTATCTGCTAACTCCATCACACCCCGTCTGTCCTCCAGGCCTCCCACCCCGCCGTGCTCCCCACCAACGTGACCTGGGTGGGCTGCCAGGGCAGCGAACGCCATTTCCGTGGCTACCCCTGTGGGCTCTGGACAGTTTTCCATCTGTTGACTGTCCAGGCTGCCCAGAGCGGCCCTGACAAAGGTATTGGCATACCCAGGGGGGGTCAGGTCTCGGGGAGGGACAGGTTGTGGCATGGGTAGGGATGCTGCCTGCGGGCAAAGGCTTGTCTCGCCCCGAGGCAGGTCTGTGGGGAGGGCAAGAGTCACCGAGTTGGGGGGCAGGGCTGCCACCTCGGCTGTGGGACCGTGGCGGTGGCACTGCAGGGTCTGGACTTGCCCTCCTGTCCCCCCCTGTCCTCTGCCTTCCCCCAGAGCTGCCGCTGGAGGTGCTGGGCACCATGCGCTGCTACGTCCGACACTTCTTCGGCTGCCAGGAGTGTGCCCAGCACTTTGAGGCCATGGCAGCAGAGTCCATGGACCGTGTGGCGAGCCGGGAGGAGGCTGTCCTCTGGCTCTGGTCCCATCACAACGAGGTCAACGCTCGTCTGGCGGGTAAGGGGGACTGCGGGGAGGAGAACCTAGGTGGCTCCCAAGGGAAAAGGGGAGGTGAGGTGGATGAGCATCCCTCCTCCTGAATGGAGCTGGTAAATGGCTGCATTAGGGTGCAACAGTGGGGACATCCTGTTGTCATCGTCCATCCTCACAGGGGACAGCAGCTAGTAACACAGCATCAGACCATCCTGAGATGCAGTTAGGTCTTACGTGTTCCCTACAGGGAGCTTCCCAAAGCCACCACGTGCCCTCGGAGGTCTCCTCCTCCTGAGATTCCTCCTCCAAATGTCCCCAGCTGCTGGGTGCTCCGGGGTGTTTATACCGTACAGGGGGAGGGCTGTGTCCCATGTCCCCTCTAACCCCCTCACTGGCTCCGGTCCCTGCAGGAGGTGACACGGAGGACCCAAATTTCCCCAAGCTGCAGTGGCCTCCGCCGGACATGTGTCCCCAGTGCCACAGGGAGGAGCGGGGGCTGCACGCCTGGGACGAGCCGGCGGTGCTCACCTTCCTCAAGGCACATTTCTCCCCGGCCAACATCTACCTGGACTACGCCGAGGCTGACCCCATCCCCGTGACCGGGGAGGGGACGGGCACCAGATTGGGCACTGAGAGCCCACGAGAGGAGAGGGAAAAAGAGGAAGAAGAGGAGGAAAAGGAGACAGAGGGGGAGATGAGAGCTCCTGGCCCCCGAGCCGCGACGCCCCAGCATCGTGCGCCTGAACCCCAAGCTGCGGGAGGTGAGCGAGGACATCGTGGACCTGGACTCGTTCAGCGAGCAGCACTTCAAGAGCCAAGCGCTGCGAGCGGCGGCCGGCCGGCGCC